TCACAACTGAATGACAGCTTTAAAAAGAACTTTGCTTCTCAACATGACTCATTGTCGAAGAGTGTTCTAGATCTTGATTTCAACATATTCGAACACAGAAATATGAATTCATCTTCCTCATCTTCAACGCTATCAGCACCAGCAGACCATAAACATCAGTCAAACGAGGAATGGAAATTTTTAGTTTCTAATGAGACATATACGACTCTTCATTCTTTGCGGAGACTGAGAATTTTTCTATTTTGGGCACAATCAGTACATCCGTCCATAATTCATATCTACTAGATATGAATTATTTAGTAGTGATATTCACCGTAGAAGCGACAGTAATATGTAAAATTCCATACCTAAAATGATAGGAGGGTCGTATATGTCTCATTAGAAACTAAAAATTTACTAGACCAACATCTGGAATAAAACTATCTGAATCTGGATCAGTGGACCATAAGCCTGGTTCCAATTTTAATCCTTCTGATTGCTGATGTACAATCATGGATGTACCCCATTTCAACGGTTGAACTATTACTGATGTTGGTATTACACGTACATAAGTTTTGCTTGAACTCTGAGGATCATTGGGAAGCATTGAAACAGTAAATTTGAATTCATATAGATCGTAGGGTAACAGTAATGCTGGTAAATATATTTTAGAACTAATCTGAGTTAATAGTCGACTCAACAGACTATTTGATAGTTGTGAATTACAGGTAGAAGACGAAGTACACGTTGAAACTTCCCATGGTTTGGAATTTTCTAATGAACTGATGGGATAGTTGAATGGTACAGTGACAATAATTGAATAGGCTTGACGACGTTGGATATTGCTAGCTGAGGCCACTAAGGCAGCATTCTGATTGAAAGTAATCAGTAGCAGAGTACAACCAAGAATGACGGTGGTAGTGGCGGTGGTAATAGTAAGAGTTGTTGCCACGGTGATTGTCGATTGAGACATTGCTGAAACATATGAGATGCGTAGCTTAGCAGGCAAATAGTTTATTTAAAAGAACTATCGAGAAAGTCAGAATACTGCAGTTCGACATTTCTTTGACCCAAAACGTTCCAGTCGTCGCTCGCGAATAAACCATACGTTGTTCTTAAAACGTCTTCGACGAAAGCCATCCAGAAAATGTAAACCAGAACTCACTCATTATCGCCGTCCTTTCTTTTTGAACTTTCCTTAAAATCCAAGTTTTCGTTCATGCTTTGTACATAGTTGGTAATTACTTGTGCACAGTTATAGCAACAGTTTGTACTGCCATCAAAACAACTACTAGTCTCGTTGTCGCTGCTGCCGTAGATAACTTCTATAGAAAAGATGGACAGGCACCACAAGTTCTCAGAATTGAATATCACTAATTTTGAACTGATGGTCGGCGCGCGTCAATCGATCGGACATGATCCTCGGTGGTCTGCGCTGTTAAAATATATTTTCAGTGCGTCGTCATGCGCTTTAACTCCGGCGGAATATATTCAGAGTGCAACGTTTTGTTTGAAGGTATGTATCAGTGATGAGTTTAAAATTGTTTTTAGAAAATTAAAAGTTGAAAAAATTTCTAAAAAAGTTAATATAGTTAAAACCTAACACCGGAACTCCGAAACTCACAACATAAATCCATGTTTTAGAATTCTTTTCCAAAAGATTCATTGTCATCAGATTCACGTTGCTGACGACGTATGTTTCATGCGATTTCAATGTCACCCCACGTCATCGTAGACGTGTCCTGGGATTCGAAAGAAATCTGATACTACACCTGAACCACTGAAAACTAAGGTCTCACTTAGCATCCGCTCTGTAGAAAACAATTTGGACTATCTACCCATGGGAAAAGATCAATTTATTTATGCTGCGAGTTTCAGAGTTCCTGCTCGGTTTTCTAGAGATCTCCCGGAAAACTGGACTCAATGATGGATTATTAAGACAATTATATTTCAACGAATAAAAAAAGGAAACTAGTCGCTCGTGCCAGTATCATCGTACTGTCCAATTGACTGAGGTCACCGTTATGCAAATGCCCCCGAAACAGAAAAGAAGAAAAGACTATACATTGTACTTTAGCAAAACAAACATTAAGTTGGTCAAGACTAGCTACAGTCGCAAGTGAGTGTAGATTCTCTTTGTCTGAAAGAGCCAATTAGATTAATATTTGATAAAAAGAATTTGTAAAAGAAAACAACATCAGGCCACATTATTCAATGGGTAATATTGATAATACGATTGACAGCTCG